AAGAAGAAAGTAGAGAAGAACCCCAACATGCTTAAGTGTTCTACTGAATGATTTCTCACTCTTATTTTATTAGTCATGGGTATGACAATAAGCTACATCTGGCAGCAAGGCTACTGATTGGGAGATTGGAGATTTTAAGGAGCATGGAACCACCTCTTACTTGCTGTTGTTCCCAGGTCCACCCTGACTTGGAATGGTAGACCCTGTTAGGGTCCCAGATATGAGCAAATAGTGAACCCTCAAACAAAAATAAAACACTATGAAAGTACAAATATACATTTTTATAGTAAAAAATGTCAGCAATATATCTTTATATTAAAAATATTACCAACAATATATATTTATAATAAAATGACCAACAATACATATTTATAGTAAAATGACCAACAATACATTTTTTAGGAGAATTAACAACAATACATTTTTATAGTAAAATGACCAATAATACAGTTTATCTGTAGTTGAGGGAATACAATTGCTTTCAAAATATATTTAGTTGAAGCTATAAAATTGTGTTCAAAATATTTAGATTTTGGCATTAGATTTTGATATTTTGCTAAAGAAAATCAACCAAACAACTATTATCTCTATCTATAAAAGGCAGGATGTGTGTGTGTAACGAATGCACAGCCGCAATTTTCGACAGATTTGCACCAAAATTTACATGCATATGCCCCAAGTTAGCGGGAAGGCCAAGACTGACTTTGCATTTCCCAACTCCCATTGATAGTGGAAATAATCGATTTTTTCATGCTTCTACGGCAGTTTTCATGTAGTTTGTTGCCATTTTGTACTGGCCAGAGTGAGAGCCAATAGCTGGCTGCCACGAATAGGCAGGAGGATTCTATTGGTCAGCATGAGAGCCAACAGCTGACTGACATGAATGTTAACTAGCATGCTAGCATGCAAAATAAATTGATAGCTGCAGTCGTCACAAGTGGGAAAAATTTAAATCTGCATGGCACTTTACTCCAATTGGCTCATTTGCTTGCTTAAACTCAACATTGATTCTGATTCCACAGAACTGGGTTAGGTGTGAAAGAGTATTTGTTGTTAACATTCTTTTTAAAATTCAGTTTTTTCCAGTTACGAGTCCTTTTTTAAAGCTGATCGTTTTGTGTTCATTTTGTTTAGTTCTTTTTTCGTAACAGATTTAATGTTTAGTATTGAGCTTAGAAAAAATTTGCAGTGTGTGATAGGCAAGAAGTAAGGCATGTAGCAACATCAGCATGGCAAAGGGCACTCCTTTAAAGGCAAGGAAAGGCAAAAATATTTCAAGTCAAGTGATAGCAATTGCTGTATGAGTCGTACGATTTTTGAATCAAGCAAGGGCAACGCTGGGCCATGCTGCTAGTTTTATCATATAATTTCTGTTTTAAACATCAGTGAATTCATTTGTAGTTTGTTTATAGAAGATTAAAGAGAAACATGGCAAATGAAGTCCACTTATTCCTCTTGATTTTCATTTTTACTTCTTGTAACAATTGTTCAGATAATTACACTCTTTGGCATAGACATTGCATGCAAGCAACCTACTAAAAATTATTTAAGCAGCTGGTCTTTAGAACACAAATAATTTTTCATGCATTGCAAAAATACTTTCTGTCAGTCATTATCAAGATCTTTCATTAATTACTTTATTGAAGAGATGATTAAGATTAATGTAATTGATGGAAAAGCTGACAAAAGCTTAATAACAATAAATTCACTGTTGCTATTTATAAATATTATGAACAATCATCTGTTTTGTCTCGGGTGTTATAACAAAAACTCAACTGATATTTGCGATAGTGTTCCCATGTAGGTCAGAGTAAAGCAGAAATATTGGGAGTTGTCTAAATGCAGATATGACTGTTTTGAAGATAAAAGAAAGAATTAAAGTGAGTTGGTCACAAGGGACAAACATTGGTGGAAAGAACATGCTTGTGGAAATTAAGAGGTTCATTAATTGGAACATTCCTAGGAATAGGCTTGACACTTATAACTGGGATCAATTGTATAGCAATAGATTAAGTCTTAAAGCCAGCTTGTTGCAGTAAACTGATTGGTTGGAAAATAAGATTTTTCTAAGCCAAGTTCTGATTGGATAGAATGATTATATATCTGCATCCATTTGAATTCATGTATTTTTTTTTTGTAAAAAATGATAACTCTTTTAAAGAATCAGTCATAAGTAGTAAGATTACCTTAAAAACATAAAGCATAGAATATGAAGCTCCTTCTTAAACTGATATTACTCTCTTAATCCTATAAAACCTTAATAGAAGTGATTAAATAAATATATGTTTGTGTGTGTGCAATGGTAGCACTTGGAAGAAAGATTTATTTTCCCATTTGTATTTCTCCTGATGTGAGCATTATCATATAATAACACTAGAATGTCTGAAAGGGAAAAGAATCACAAACATGCTTTGTTCTCAGAGAGACCTTTATAATACTAAGACATGCACAAACCTATATGCATACATATATACACATGTCCTACATAGAGATTAATATATCACATATATCTACATAGCAAAGCAGAGTGTAAGGAGAAGCAAAAAGGAAGGGTTTTACATATAATATAGAGATTCTGGAGAAGCCATGTTTAGAACTCCAGATTCAAATGGGCCAGATTCATCTATATCTCAGGCAAGGACATATTCCCTGAATGGGAAACAGCAAGTTGAGGACTGTAAGCTGGAGTTTCACTCTATATCTGGGAAAGATATATTCACAAAGGGAAGCACCACCATGGACTTGTAAGCTGTGGGAGAGGCAGATTTAGCCTTGGTCTGGGCCATGGAGTATCTGGAGTAAGAAAGCAACATTTCACTTTGGCTGCTGAAAACAAACTGAAAAATGACTGGCACTTTTGTCACTGTATGGAGTGACGTCATTAAATGGCCATCATGTGACCCAGGTGAATTATCTCCACCAAAGGGAGATAAGCACTTTCTGTATCCTTACATATATATGTATACATGTATGTGTGTCTGGATGTATGTATGTTTGTATGTTTCATTAAAGATGATTGACAAAGTACTGCAATTAAGCTTTTTATTTATTTATTTTTTCTTGTGTTAGTATGAATGTTTTGTTTTCTAGACATAAAGTGTGTAAAAATAGTCCAAATATTTTAGACATTATCAAGCGCAATTTTTATTTTTTTTATTTTTAACTGAATGTATAGGTTTATATGTATGTGTCTAGAGTTATAGGAATATTTTATTTTCCAAACATGGTCAGTACATTGTGGCCATGTTCATAGTTGATTTTACTGTGTTTACTTTTTCTTTATTATTTTTAGTGCTTCCATTATTTTTATTCTTTTTTTACATGTGGATGAGGCTATTATACATGTATTTTAACTTACTTGTACAAAAGAATAACTGAAGACACTTGAATATACAGAACATTTGGACACTTTTTACACACTTGATGTCTAGGAAAGGAAACTTGTACAAGCACAAGAAAAATTAATTAAAATGCTCAATTACAGTACCTTGGCATTCATCTTTAATGAAACATGTATAAAAGAGGGATTTTTGCCCAAATAAACAATTTTATATCATATATATATATATATATATATATATATATATATATATATATATATATATAGACAATTTCTAAAGATGTAATTGATTTTTGATTTTTTTTCCAACAGATTTTAACATTTTAAAATATCCATTGTGATAATGTTTAAAGTGACAAAATATTTAGACACCAAAAATTCATCCAAATAAGTTTTATTGAATAACATGGACATGTTCTGCCTATATAATTTTTTATATTGTTTTTCCAACTTCCATCTGAGGTGCTTTACATCAAAATTTAAAATATTAAAACTGTTCAAAATTCAGTTTTATAGATTCAAGTACTTTTGACTGTTGCTACAGTCGTTATTAAGAATTGTGAGTATGTTTAGCAAAATGTGTTTCACACATTCCACTGTTATTTAATTGCTGGAATTAGAATTAGAAGTAGTCAAAGGTAACCTCATTTGCAATGGTCAATGGTTTAGACATGCTTTTTGTTTTTTCTCCTTTCATGTGTAGTGACAGTTGAAAGTACTTAAATGTTTAAAAAAATGACCTTTGGATAGTTTAACATTTTTAGTCATGATGTAAAACACCTAAGTTGGTATATGTAGACAGAATTCTGTGTAATTCAATAAAACTTGTTTGGATATATACATATATTGGTCACTATTTACATTTGCATGTCCTTAACAAAGAAATAAATAATGTATTCCACATATTAGCAGAGATTTGGTAGGTACAAAATGACAATGTATAATAGATGCTATACTTTAAATAAGCTCCTTCCTCCTTAGGGCCATTAGACTCCACTGTGGAGAATAGGATCACAGCCTCACCACACTAGGTGTTGTAGTAAGTACTAGATTCTGTAGTAGTAAGTAGTATTTTTGTTTTATTTTTACAGGATAAGGTTGCCAGTCACACGCTCAACATATTAGATATTCAGAGTTGTCCCTCTCCTAAACTGGCTGCCAACCAAGGCAACCAGTTTAGGAGAGGGACAACTGCTCTACTATTTAGCCCATAGATAAAGGGAGTAGATATGTATTCATCCATTTCCTAAGGGTATTTGTGTGAAATTGAGTGTAACATACTTGTTTTTTAGAGTCTGTCTATATTTCTGAGATGAAGTATTATGTACATTATTTACATTATTCAGACTATTGTCCTGATCTTGTTTTTTTTAATTTAAATATTTATTTATTTCAACTTTGATAAGATATGAAATTATTCGATTTAGAATTTCAAGATAAAACCTATTATTGAATCCAAATTGGAAAATATTAACTCATTATTAACTGTAAAAAGATTTCTCTTAATTCCTTGTACCCTTTGAAGAAAAAAAGACTACACTGAATGGTGTAATAATGTAATAATAGTTTAATGATAAAAGTCTTACTAATTAACCCATAACTCAGCTTTCCAATTACGAATTTTGAGCTATTATCCATTAGACCATGTGCACATCCAAGCTCACAGCACATGGTAATCCCGAGAGGTCACCCATCTAGATATCAACTAGGCACAATGTTGCTTAACTTTGGTGATCATATGAGAACCGGTGTTTCAACATGATATGGAAGTAAGCCTGAGTTTATCTTCAGTGATTGTACAGAAACTTGTGTTTCAACGTGATGTGGGCATAACCTGATGGTGCAAAGAATCACGGGGGGTAAGTAAAAAAAAATTGTGATAGCAGAGTGGTTAGAAAAATGAAAGTTAATGTTTGGTGGGATTCAAAATTGACAAAGGATTTTTCTTTTTTTTCAAAATCTATATGAAAAAATCTAAGTCACTTACACTTGATTGAATAATTGATTTGTTTTTCGATGGCTTATGTAGGATGAACAGTGGAATAATGGATAGCGGCTTGGATTGAGAAATCAGAGAGTTGAGTTCGAATTCCAGTTAAATACATTACATTCAATTACATGCTAATACCCTGGAGAAAGGTATGAATCCTCTTCTTCTCCACTCAGCTATGGGTAAATAGCAGGACAGATAAGGTTCTATATCCTTGGATGGCAACTGGTCTACCGAAGAAAGAAATGGCAACCTACTGCAGGAAAAAATATAAAAGATACATGATTGCTTAAGTGTGTATCATGTGTGGCAAATAACTGACTGATGGCTTATCAACCCTTTGTGGGTTATTTAAAACCAAAATATGTGTTGTCAGAATAATTCCTTCTTTTTTTTTTTTTTTTTTTTTTGAGTCAGTATGGCATTAACTTTTCTTTCTCTTTTCTTTGAGAATAACAATGATTATTTCCAGATACAAACCAACTATTTAACCCATAGCTGGGGGAAGATCAATTCATACATGTCCCAAGGGTATTTGTGTGTAAGTGTCTTGAATTTGAACTCGGCTCCCTAATTTCCCATTCCAGGCTGCTATCCATTACACCACACATATCCACTTCCCTAAAGGATTTGCATGTCCCAGGTGTGTAAGTGTCTTGAATTTGAACTCGGCTCCCTAATTTCCCATTCCAGGCCGCTATCCATTACACCACTCACATATCCCACTTACACCTAAGGGATATGCATGTCCCAAGGGTATTTGTGTGTAAGTGTCTTGAATTTGAACTCAGCTCCCTAATTTCCCATTCCAGGCCGCTATCCATTACACCACTCACATATCCCACTTACACCTAAGGGATATGCATGCTTTAGAAAGAATAAAATTAACATAAGGTTTATCCACAAATTCATGATTATATTTTATTTTGCGATCTGAAATTAAAAATCCAATCATTTGTATTTTGCTGACTCTATCTCCACAGGATGCAATACTCAACAGGCAGATCAGTCAACCAATGTCTGGATGGGCCAAAGCTCTAGGTTTGTAGGTGTAGGGATATAGCCACACAGATGTTTGTTTGGCAACATCTTATCTCGTGACATCTGGAAAAAGTTGAAATTCATATGTGTGTCCATAGTGTATGATTAGATGTTGCTTTGAATTTGAGGTATACCTGCAGTCAGTTATGTGCCATATGTCATACATGCTTAGGCAATCAAGTATCTTTTGATACATGACTGACGAGGCAGATTTTTTCCCATAGTAGGTTACCATTTCTTTCTGTGGTAGACTAGTTGCCATCCAAGGCTATAAAACCCAGTCTGTCCTGCCATTTACCTATAGCTGGAGGGAGAATAAGAGGATTCATACCTTTCCCAACAGTATTAGCACATAAGTGAATGTAATGGATTCAACTAGAATTCGAACTCGGCTCTCTGATTCCTCAATCTGAGCCGTTGTCCATTACTACACTGTGCTTCCTCTAGTATACCCTATATGAAGAAATTGTCTTCATATGGGTGTGTGAGAGATGTGAACTGGGAGCCAAGGAGGGTGATGGCTAGAAAAAATTTGAGAACCATTTTTGGAGAAAATGGAAGCAAAAAGGAAATTTATGCTTAACGTTAGGAAGAGGCAATTGAAATTTCTGGAGCATGTAATGAGGAAGGTATACTTGGAAAATCTGATACTCTCAGGACAGATTGAGGAAAAGAAGAACAGGAAAGCGGCGCATAACATACTTGATGAACTTGAGTAAATGGATGATAGAACAGGGTTTGGGAGAAATAACAAAAAGACAAAACTTATTATGAGGTACATGAAGATGTGGTGGGCCATGATCGCCTACATCCTGAAGGGACATGGCACATAAAAGAAGTTGAAACAAGTAAGCTCACTGAAAAGTTTAAGTGTTTTAAAAAGCTAACCAGTACTTAGAAGATTGAAATAAAATAAATCATGTGACAGAGAGAAAGATGTTCAAAAGATGATTATCATAAGTCATTCACAAGAGCTTATACTTCTTTTGTCAACCTTACTAAAAAGAAAATGGACTGCAAAAATAGAAAATGTTAATATACTAGAAATTATTACATATTGCATTATTGTGTCTCTCCTGTAACTAACAATTTAAATGCTGAAAATGGGAGGTGTGGGAAAATGAAATAAAATCGACAAATATTTTATTTGTTGATTTTTATAATAATAAATAATAAAGAAATAAAATTTCCCATGATACTCAGAATAAAGGAACCTGAAATATGATTACCCCCACTTAGCTTCATCTATAAACAGGCAAACATTTTCTTTCCTGATTCTCTTTCTTACACTTGCTCCAAGATATAGCACCACATGGTAATTACATAGGCACATTAGTTTCCCCAGTCAGCTGACAATTGAACTCTCTTTCCACTTAACACAAACTCACTATCATATTTTCCTTGCATTTCAAGTGTGCCAAACTAATTGAAATATTTGAACAGTATCATTGTAATTTTTATAAAGCATAACTTGATTGTTTAAATCAACTTGAATGTACTTTTTCACATCTATAAATGGGATTTTGAATATGTATTTATTAAATACTATCTATCAAAATGCTTTAAAAACAGTAGTGAAACAAAGAAATTGTTCCTTAATCTTAATGGAAAAATAGTGGGTATCATAAAGGAAAATGAAAGCATCAAGATAATCCCCACTGATAATATCACTTAGGATCATAATTCTTGTGATGATTGTTGCAAACAATGACATCTCTTCAAAAATATGATTTTTATGATCTTAGATGAAAATGAAATTTTTTTTATTAATTTAACCAACAAATAAAATATAAGCATACTATTTTTTGAAATCAATTAAATTCTTCTTGGCTTAAAAGCAAAAAGATTGGTAATGTTACTGTAAAATATCTGGATTTCACTGAATTAGTAGCAGTTGTTATTGAATGCTATACAAACTGCCTGACTTTAGTCTTTCCCTTAATTTATTCTATATTTCATCTGAAAATGTGTTATCATTTTATTGTGGAAAAAATATTACTACAAAATGAATTTTTTCATACCAGCCTTTCAAAGTTGAATGTCTACTTACAAATTTCAAGTGTCCATTACAATATGTATGAATTCACAGAGTCACCCTAGCAGATGGATAGCAGCTCGGATTGAGGAATCAGAGAGCTGAGTTCGAATTCCATTCAAATTCATTACATTCACTTTCCTGCTAATACCCTTGCGAAAGGTATGAATACTCTTCTTCTCCCCACAGCTATGGGTAAATCGCAGGACAGACAGGGTTCTATAGCCTTGGATGGCGACTGGTCTACCACAGAAAGAAATGACAACCTACTGTGAGAAAAAAATCTGCCTCATCAGTCATGTATTGAAAGATGATCATGTATCACACAATGCGCATAACTGACTGCCTAAAGTGATGTATAATAAAAAATGTTACAAAATAATTATAATATAAATTGTAATATAAATAATGTTAAACCCTGCATTCTTGATTGCATATATAAAAAATATTTCCAAACATTATTTAGTTTTTAAAAATAATGATACAATATATTTCTTAAAACATACTTAATTTTCTTCCCCCACCCAATGATGACTCCTATGAATTGAAAGCTTGGGACAACACAACATGAATTTTGGACAATTTATCCACACACAGCAACCACTTTTACATAAGGATATTTGTTCATTAGAAAGAAGATCATCAAATATAATAGACAAAATGTTTATTGTTTTCTGTTAAAACAGGATCTTGTTCAATAAACTGAATGACAGCACTTCAGCAGAAAAATGTTCACTGAGGAGAAATTTCAATAAACTTAAATAATGCCTAAAGGTTAAATACACTTTGACAAGAAGGGATACAAGCTACTGTTAGTGATTAGAACACATCCATTATGCTGAGGAATATGAGTCTAATATCTTCAGAAATTTGGTAGCCAAGGATGGTGAGTTCAATCCTAGGTAGGACCAAAAGAGTTAACAGTTTTAACAAGTTTAACAAGAACAGTTGCTGCCCAAATATAATGAATTTAAACTTTAATAATGAGAGATATTCTTAATTTTGTATGGAAATTTTTTGTAGTGTATTTTTATAAGGAATGCAATGTGTACCCTACAAGAAAATACATCAGGGTCGGTGTGTAAAATCTCTCACACCACCCTGACTGGGGAGTCCAAGCCTGATTGAGGACCCCAGGTAGTGCTTTATGACCTTTGCTATTTTATCAACATTTGTTTTTTTTTCCTACCTGCATTTATATATGTTTAAATTATACTAAGCTCAACTGACTATTACAGAATAAAAAATGTTTGGATTTTGACATCATTCTGTGGTATTTTATTTTATTTTTATTTTTTGTCCAAGTCCATGAATTTGTTTTGTTAATGCTAAGTCTAAAAAAAACACTATATGAAATTCATTATTTTTTTTTATTGATAATATTGAATGTGGTACAATTATTCAAATTTTGAAAAAGAAAAATCTCAAATTGATATTAAAAATTGCGACAAAACATTGTTGATTTATTTAAGATGGAATGATCTATCATGACAAGTCTCTAATTTGTATTTAGATATATTGTATTTATTTTAAATATTTCTAGTTGAAATATTCATGTATATTGCATATGATCCATTATTGTATATAATTAGTGTTGTAACCTAGGGAAGGTTACTGAATAGAATAATCAAATGAAGGTTGGTAATGAACAAGGACAAGAACAACACATATAAGATTTGCCAGCATCACGTAGAAGTAGTC